CTTTCGTTGCAAGATATGTCAGAGACAATACTTTTCTCACTTTTCTATGAAACTAACTACCTCGCTTTGTAATTCTTTTCCTTTTCTGTGAATCTAACTCTTCCAAAAAAACGTGAAGAAGAATAGATTTACTTCTATTTGTTGATCTTTATACATAATAATAATTTGTCACATATCAACTTATCTGATTCATTATTTAAATATTTAAAATAAGGATTCAATAAAGTATTTTTTTTCTCTCTCTCTCTCTCATCTTATTTATTTTAAATTAAAGATTATTTACAATAATAATGTTCGTCAATCACTATTATTATTAATTTACTATATAAAATATCTTCAAACAAATCAATGTTATGAATACAATTCCATGTTTTTTAATTATTCAATCGCAATCGATACAATTCCTTCTCCAACTCGTAGTGATTGTAAAATAAAATCGACGAATTTACATTATTATGTGCATGTTATCTGATTCGATGATGGAACAAGTCATGTAACATATAGTACCGATACACCATTGCCATCTGAAAGTATCATCACAATTACCAAACGTGTAGGAAATCTATATGGTACATATTCAGATGATAGATCTATTGATTATAGTTGTATATCTTTAAATACAACTTCTTGTAATATTGTTAATAATTTAAAACATACTGTTACTTCTACGACATTATCTACTAATGAACAAATAAAACAATTCAATTCATTGATTATTTTAATCAAAGTATTTAATAGCAGTTCATATTTTAATTATTCAAATATGATAAATGATCGTTCTGAAAATAGTTTTGTTAATTGTCAGCAATGTATGATTGGAGTTGAATATGCTTAACAAACACATATATATGCTGTATGTTCCTCAAAAAATATGATAGAAAATTAAATGTATCATCACATGATATTTTTTCTTAAGGGGAACCCCCCCCTCAGGAATCGTTTTTCGTTATTCGTTGACCGATTCGCTTGAAATTTTCAGGCAATATGGATGCTGTGTTAGCTCAAGTCCTTGCAAATTTTTGGCTCATAAAGTTTTTGCTTTAACGAGTTATTGACAAATTAGTCCCCAAAATGGTGATCTTCGTAAGGTACCGATTTCTCAGACTGTCGAAGACGTAGAGAGATACAGTTTGTTTTAAATAAAAGACAAGACTTGAATCTAGAAATGTATATACCGTTTTTTCGAAATTCGATTTTGTTCGAATTTCCGAGACATTTTCCTGCAAGAACTCGGAATTTAGCGCTTTTTGACGTCAGTGTTATCCAGTTATCACGGCAAAGAAATCGAATTTCGAAAAAACGCTATATACATTTTTAGATATAGGTCTCTTTTTTTATTTAAAAAAAACAGTAGCTCGCTACCTCTTCTACAGTTCGAGAAATCGGTTCCTAACTCTCCAAAAAAGTGATTTTGAGAAAACCAATCAACAAGTTTGTATGAAACAATTTTTAATTTCACTATGACTGTCACGACCTCTATACGGCAATTTCATCATGTATACAGGATTTTAAGCAGAAATGACTACGTTCCTCTAATTAATTAATATAACAGAACGTATATGTGTTTTTCATTAAACAAAATCTACAAGTTTGTTGACCACTATCACATCTCCCTAACTAAAAAAAATTCTGATAAAACCTTATATTTCTACCAGTGCTCCCAGAAAACCGCTATTTTCACCGTCCAAAACCATTCAAACTGCAATAAATCGCACATAATCTGAAAGAGGACACTTTGAGCTTTCAGTATATGTGCTTATCTCAAAATCGATTTTTCTGAAAAAAATCGATTTTCTGACGGGGGGGGTTCCCCTTAACAATCAAACTCAATCTCATGTGATGACTATTAGGTGTCAAAAAGATTTTGCTTGTAATACAGTCGAAAATACTCAACGAATAAAACAAACATTATTGAGTTCATTTGATTGTGATAAATTCTTTCGTTCGACAACACCAACATCAATATCAACTGTGAGCATTTTATTTATAACATTCTTTTTTTCGCCTGCTTTTTTTTAAACATAAAAAACCTTTTATAACAATTGTGAAAATAGTTTTACGTTGTTTTTGTTTTGTGTAATGAAGAATCGTCCTATTCTGCAGTATAGAGTACTGTCTAGCAAAATATTCATTAGTTCGATAGCTTCCCTACAATGAATGCTAGATGTAGCTTTAAACAGCAGATCAACCTGATCCAGAAATCTTGTGCTCAATTGCTTAAGTTCTCCATACACACTAACTAGCCACAAGAATCATGGCATGTTAAGTTTGTATTTCCAGGACATTCGAATGAAATGACTACGAGAAAAATTTCATGAAAATCTAATTCAATACTTTGAGAAATAAACGTAGAAAATTGATTTTAATATAAATAGTATACAGAAATGAAGTGTATATGTTTAGGATTGAATCGAGAAATTCATCTTGTTACTGTCAATCATTCTCAAATACTTCATTGAGTAATTTGAGTATTAACATTAATGATTAGCACTCTAAGATTATTGTTTTAATTTGCCTTTGACTTCTAAAATATATTTAAAATAAAACGTTAACTATCTCACAATTATGTAAGTGAAAAATACAGGATAAAATTGATATAAGAGTATAGATGTGGCTCCTGTCTTCACCCATATACACTCTTCCTAACCTCACCAACCCCTAAATATAATCACTTCACTTCTATATACTTTTCATAATAAAATGAATCTCAATTTATACATCATAGACATTTTATCTGAACTCTTGCAACAGTATTCTTCTGCTTGTATCATTTATTGAATAATCATCTGCAGAAATTTGATGTTCCTGAAAATAGGAATTTCCCATGTCCTCCAAGAGCAAGCGTATGTCACAATGTAGTCAGATACTATCGGACGGATGATCCGAAACAAACAGCCGTAAGTGACTTGTCCAGGGTCATTTCATGATTAATGATACTGAAGTTTGAATATGATACTTTGTGCATACGTGTTGAGCAATGTAATCACTCAAACGTGGAGGCCTTCGTATAATGAAAGAAACAATCTAATGATAAAAATTATGCATCTCCAAGACAGAAAGAAATAAACAACTATAAGGATGAATACTATTTAAAAAAACCCTTCAATTTATACATAAAATGATGTCGACAAACTATTTTTTTTTTCATTTTTCTGAATATTTTGAATGATATTAGTAGATACGATTGATTGTATGATGTTGAAAAATGTCAGATAATATGTCAAAATTAATTTTTAAATTACATGTATTTGATTAGTTCATAATAATCCACCAATCAAAATGATTAGTTTATCCTCTATTAAGAATTTCATTATTATTTAGTTTGACAATCATTGGTTAATTTCTTCTTTACGATGATGTTTATTTGTGTTTCTTTTTTTAGGACTACACACTTCAATAGCGTCTATCTATTATATTGTTTGCCATCTTTTAAGTGTATTATAACGCAATAAAAAAAGAAAAGAATACTAATGGCAACAACAAAAAGTCCAAATGAAACATTTAATATGGATGATTTTGATGCACTTTTAGCTGCACTTAGTCCTGACGATCTTGAAAAAGTCAATGATCTTATTGATCCTGAAGTATGTTATTTATTAATTTTTATATTTATTTTCTTTTTTTATTAATTATATTAATTTAATTTAGAATTCATGGTTACCAGCAAGTGAACGTTGTAAAGCACAAACAACAAAAACTTCAACTGGTCCATATGATCGTTCAAAACTTCTTGATTTTCTTACTGAACAAGGAAAAAATGAAAAAGATTGGGACCATATTAAACAATATGTACCAGGTGAAAAAAAAGGTAAAGTTTGGCAACCACCATCTGTAACAAAACCAACACAAGAAGATGATGAATTTATGGTTGCAACGGAATGGGATGATGTATTAACAAATGCAAGTGAATCTGAAATTGTTGAACTTGCTGGTGTGTTAATTGGATTTAAATAATAAAAAAATATAGTTTTTCTTATCGATTCTTTTCTTTTTTTAGCTATACTTGGCTTTACAGGCTTAATTAATCAAGTGCAATATCATGCCGCATTAACTGATAAAGGTTTACCATCAACTGTTGGTGGATGGAATGGTAAGAATAATAAGAAAATTAATGTGATTTAATTCTTTGTTTTATATTTAATTAGCTGCAGCTAAAAGTGAACCATTAAAAATTCTTCCACCTGAACCTGATAATACAACTGATGTTGAAGATTGTATAAAAAAAGCTAAAGCTAATGATAAAGGTTTCACACGTATTAATATAAATAATATAAAAGAAGTTAGAGCTGATGTTCTTAAAGAATTACTTAATTCATTAAAAGATAATACAAATGTACAAACTCTTGAAATGGCTAATGTCGGTATGACTGATAGTGTTGGTCGAGTATGTTTTATTATATAAATATATTTAGTTTTGTTATTCACAAAAAAATAATAATTTGTTCTTTTTTTTTGTCTGTTTATTAGGTTCTTGCAGAACTTCTTCAAGCTAATTCAACATTAAAAATTGTTAATGCTGAATCAAATCGTTTAACAGGATTAGTTATTAGTGAAATTGTACGAAGTACATTAAAAAATCAAACATTATTGGAATTACGTTTATCAAATCAAGTAAATATCAACATGTTTTGTTATTTGCCAGATGTTGTTTAGTTAAGCAAAAAAAAAAAAAGAATACATTATATTGTTCTGGAAAATGATAGACAAATTATTGTCGCAGAAGTTTTCTACAGAATAAAAGAAAAAAAGGTCATATGCAAAGATTTGTTATCGCATTGTCAAATGACCTTATTAATGAGAATATGAGTAATTTCATTTTTATTTGTTTATATTGTTGAGAAAAACATATTGGTATTAATAAGTTCTAATATATAAACGAATAATAAAATGGAATTTGACATTATGTTTAATGATAGAAATTTACGAACATAAAATTTGCTTTTGAATTTGAACTTTATACATAAAGTAGATCCTCATGAGATTGTACGAAAGATAAAGTGCTCTTAAAACTCGTCGAGAATTTTTGTATTTGTCCAATCCGATCGGTTCGTTGGATCGTTGTTCATGAGAGTGGCTTCGAAAAATATTCATTTTTCTTTTTGCTCTCAGGTTTTTATAAATATCATATTTGCTAGGGTTCTCAAAAATGAATATGTGATGTTTCTAAGCATAACCCGCAAAAAAAAAATAGTAATTTATTCATCAATTGATTACTAAACTCGAAATCTTGAATTTTCTTACTTAGCATCTTTAGACAAACCTAATGTTTCTCATCGAATGACGATGCAAATTAAATTTATTTTGATAAGAACGAGCATACTTATTCTTCACAAGTATCATTAGAGAAAAATGTAATATTCATACAATATTTTCCGGCTTAATGAAGTATTGAATTTCTAAAGATAACTCATATTCCACGGAAAAATTCAAGAATCTCATATGTTTTTGAGAATTCAATATCTCATGAGGGAGAAAATTTTTTTTTTTTTTGAACTGGAATTTTCAGAACATTCTAGTCTTATCTATGAACACGATATCATTATTCGATTCTTGTGTTAATATCGTACTATAGGCTAAAATTTCAGTAAATGCCTATAACTCTATAAGGAAAGTCTATGTACTCTTAAATAAAATGTTAATCAAATAATGAAATATTATTCAAAACTTAATAGAATTTAAATATAAAAAATATTAAAAGTCCGATTGATATTAATTAGAAAATTTCTAATGGTTTTATTTATGATAAATTCTAGTGAACTTAATGGAAAACAGGTATCATTATTATGTCATGAACTCAAACAATTATATTCATAAAAGATCAGGAGATCCGGATTTTTGAGCATGCAAGCAAGCAACCATTCATATTTGTTATAAATTCCAAAAAAGTTTCAGTTATTTATAAGATGTGTTAGTAATTTTTTTGTCATTCATCAGTATCCTTATACTAATCCAGTTATAACTCTTAATGAAACAATATGCATGAGAATATATGCTTTTTGGCTTCTACAAGCTTGAAAAAGAAAATCGCTTAAATACATGTCTTGTTTACTCTTACAAGCAAAATTGCTCAATTCGATAAATTGTTTTTATGTCAGGACTATGTGTATCATGTAAACTCAAGTGATTTATGAATACTTTGCCAAAGAATTCAGGTTCTTAATTTATTACTGCAGAAATACAAGAAAACTGATTTTCGAAATTTCGACTTCAGATCTTAGTTTTTTTGTTCAGGTTTCAGGTCTTTTCGATTTGCTTCTATCCTGAAATAACAATATTGAATCTCCCAGTGTGTATGCGCGATATAAAACCCACGCTTTTACCATAGCTAAATCTTAAAATAAGAATAACAAAAAAAAAAAAACTTGAAAACTTTAACAGTAAACTCTGATCTGAAGTCAAAATTTCGAAAACTTATTTTCCTATGAGAAGGCTACGATATTCCTACAGTAATAAACTACGAGTCGGAATTCTTTCCAGAGTATTCATAATTCATTAGGATTTACATAATATACATAATCGTGACTTAAAAACAATTCATCAATTGACAAACTTATCTTGTCCGACAAGATTTGAAGTCTAGCAGCATGTAAAAAAATTGAAAAATAACTTTCAATAAAATTTCTAAATGAAATAATTAATATTGAAAATGAGTGTTATTTAATTCTTTTGAATTATCAATGAATTATATTAATATTAATGATGTTTTTTTTAATAATTTATTTCAGCGTTCACAAATATTGGGCAATCGAGTTGAAATGGAAATAGCTGATGCTATATCTCAAAATAATACACTTCTTCGTTTAAATTTACAATTCGATACACTTGGACCACGTGTTCGTGTTACAGAAAAACTTAAACAAAATTTAGACGTTTGTAAGAAATCATTAATAAAAAAAAAAAAAAAAAAAAAGAACTAACAGTTCATACAAAATAAATATATTCATTCTTCTTTTTTGTTTTTAGTGCGTAAAAAACGTTTAAACAATAAACAATAAACAAATTAAAAAGAACGACTACTTACACATATCTTCTTCACGATCCTTACGGTTGTTTTTGCGCACTGGCAATCTCATTATCCTTGTTTGTTTGTTTTTCTTTTTTCGTTTTATTCTAAAATGGTGCTGATTATGATTCGTATTTCCTTTTTTTTTTTTGCATAATAATAATGAACAAAAAAAGACAAAAAAAAATAATCGTCTAGTCAACACCATCAACGAAAAATTCATTATAACTCTTTACCGAAATTGTTTTTTTTCTTATTGTTTTTCCTTATGAATTAACATCCTTGTTTTAAACATGCAAAATATTTGTATGTATATTAGTCATTTATTTGTAATCCTTCCTGTTTTGGTCTGATTTCGTTTTTTTTTTCTCTGTCGTAGAACTTATTTAGTCAACCTAAATAAAGTTAATTATGTAGTTTCACTTTCTTTTTCAGATAATTTTTTTTTCTCATTAATGGAATTCTATTTTTCAATATGAACAATAATTGATCAAGACAATTGCAAAAAAAAAAAACTGTCATTTTTATTACACATGTTTAAAACGAGTATTGTTCTGTCTAGGAAGGAATGATTATTTCTATGCGTGCGTGTTTCATGAGTTTTCTCTGGTATATAGATGTGTTAGGTTGTGGAATATATACGTAGTAGCGAAAGCAGGATTTAATAGATGAAGAGATGCTGTTCAAGTGTGTATTATTGTATGGGTGTAAACAACTCTGGATAACGAGAGAGTTTTTAATTAGATGTCTACAAGGTATATTGAGATGTCTGTTTTGGAAAAATATGTTAAGTGGATATCTGCTAATGTCTCCACAACTTTTTACAGTCATTTCTCTTATAAAAATTGTGAATAGTGTGTGATACAATGTGAGAAATTCAGTTCCATTTTTTCATTTTCTTTTTTTGTTATGTCATCAAACTTACGCATGAAAATTTTATATAACTCGCCTAAACAACTATCAAAATATAGCAATTAAATCTTACTGTAAACCTATATTATAAATGACATATTATGATTGTATTAATTACTTTGTTCTTTCTATTACTCTTTCTATGTGACTTTTTTTAAATGATGTAGTTTTATGTTTTAAATAATTTTCTTGTATATGTGTTATTGCTTCATTTAAATGTTCATTCACTGTACTGTAAGCTAAACTCTATTGAGTTGGTACCGAATCCAACTGTCTCTCTAGTCGTCTGGAAAGTGTGTAGGATGCACTAGGCACCAAATACAAAAACTTGGAAAGAAAATATCTCATATTGTCGAGATGACTTTTCAGTTCCAATTAAAAAATTTTATTGAGAATATCAAAGTATGATTCGACCGGACGGACTATACTATACGAACTTGAAAGTCATCAGTTATTGTAAAAAAAAAAAAAAAAAAAAACTTTTCTTCAAAAATCTTTCATACTATAAAATATATTTTTAATTTTTTAAATAAAAATTTTGTTTTATTTTAGATGAACCTTCGTATATTATTATTTCATATCTTATTTTTAATTGTTCAAGTTGATTCACGTCGTCATAATGATCAAAATGATAATGATAGTATATATGAATTAGATCATCTTTTGCATAATTATAATCATCATAAAACACATTCAAATAAAGAATATCTTCAAGATTTATCAAATGATGATCAAGATTATCTTTCATCATTTCAACGTGAAAAAAAATATTCATCACGTAAGAAAATTTCCGATGAAAATGATAATCGTGATGAACAAGAAAAATCATTAAATCGTATTCACACATCAAAATCAAATAATCGATCAGAATTACCTAATAAATCTAATCGAATTTCACAAACAACAACACAAAGTTATATTGATGAAGCATCATTATGTATAAATGAATTTGATATTAAAACTGAACAATTAGTTAAAGTAAAAGAATTAAAAAATGGTGCACATATGATACGTTTTGTTCGTATTGATGAACCATCATCATCTCATGGTCTTGATATAAAAGATATTTGTATGTTAAATTGTTGTGTTGAAGAAAAATGTGATTTAGCTATGCTTAGTGAACAACGTACAAATGTAAGTTTTATATTTTATTTGAATATTTATTTGATGAATTGTTTTATTTTAAATTGTAAAGGATGGTTATAAATGTTATTTATTTGCTTGTAATGGTAGTTGTACATATGCATCACATCAAGAATATACTAGTATGATATTAAAAAAAGAATTATCATCATCCAATGAGGATTTACAAGGAACAAACAAACAATCGAAATCTAATGAAAAAAATTCAATTGCATCATCATCAACACT